CAACACGGACAAACTGTCAGCGCGTGCAGCCCCCGAGTCCCCAGGAGGTGGCCCGGGCGGGAAGGGCTGCACCGGGCGCTGGGCAGCCGCTTCAGTGGGCTTTTATGGCACCCAGTCAGAGTGTGTGTGTGTGTTAAGAGAGCCCTTGCCGTCTAGCAGAGAATGCTTAATGAGAAAATGATTGGAAACAAATGTTTATTTTTCACGGACAAACTGTCAGCGCGTGCAGCCCCCGAGTCCCCAGGAGGTGGCCCGGGCGGGAAGGGCTGCACCGGGCGCTGGGCAGCCGCTTCAGTGGGCTTTTATGGCACCCAGTCAGAGTGTGTGTGTGTGTTAAGAGAGCCCTTGCCGTCTAGCAGAGAATGCTTAATGAGAAAATGATTGGAAACAAATGTTTATTTTTCCCTTAGGCATTTAAAACCTTTCAGTGGCTTTCAAGTTTACTACTGGTTTTCCCACAACATCCATTCATTCAGTCTCTTGTTGGAGTTAGGTGTACCTGGACGTTTTACAGTTATTTTTAGTGCCTTTACAAAACCCTCATTTATTCTTCCTTATCCTCTCCCGTTTCCTTCTCTCCTTTTGCTTCTCCCACACCCTTTGCTTCTTTATGTTAAAATGAGGTATAAAGATGTCAGCCTTTGCAGACCCACAGAGAAAGTTATGTTCAGTCGCCGACACATTCCTTGTTTCCTGGTAGAATATGTTTAGAACGCGTGAATTAGGTTTCTTTTAGAAATGTGGTGTTATCATCCATACGTAGCCCTTGTCCTGGATGAAAGATTGGCATCAACACCGGAAACAGCTTTTGAGAGAACATGGGAAAAGGGACTGACTTTGTAAATAGGCAAACCTGGGATTTGACCACAGAGAAATTAGGAAATTAAGTCTACAATCTGCGGGGCCCTCCTGTCTGGAAAATTTTACAGTCCCACGCAAACAATATAGCGTTAGAATATTCCAGCCCCTTTCCATTTTACAATGGCTACAAGGAGAATGCTGGATTGCATGGTCAGGACAAAAGATTGACATTGATTTAGATGCAGATACTGTAATGAGGGGCATAGAGAAATACTACTGATACTCTTCGCTTTCATCTCGTCTAGGTTGATATAGAATGAGGCTTATTAATAGCACTTATAAACTACTTTGACCTGTCACAATACACTCATGATGAACAAGGATGACACTCAACTTGGTGGGTAATACACACCATGTAGGTGACGGCTTTTCCAAGGGTAGGCTCATTGTTCACGGTGTTGGATTTCCAGTGTGATCCCCTTTGTGGCCTTTGGTTAATCATGCCCTGTCATGTTCAGAGAGGGCTGGAGACCCCCATGGTCGGGCGCTCACTTCATACCTCCTAAATGTGGTTCTTGCATGTGGATGGGAACTTCTCGGTCACACAGCATTTTCTTCTTGTTGTCTTGGTGTGAGCTCACAGTCTTTTTACACTCTGATAAGTGATTCTTTAAAAAAGGTTCAGTTTTGGACACTTCTCGGCAGGCTTTGTCAGTTTAGCAGTGCCATTGGTCAATAAGATGTTGCTAATGTAGCATTTTCTGTTGTATACTTCTGGAGTCTGACACTAGTGTCTGAGCAGGCGGGGTACTAGGACCACAATGAGGCACCCAGAGAGAAGCGATAGTGTCCTGTTTGGGGAGCACTGTGCACAGTGACAACAGGTCTTCCATCTTTGGCAGTTGCTGCTTATAATTTTAAATGAGTTTTTGAATAGCTGGGCTTTATACACTACATTAAAGCGAAGTTGCTTTGAGCTGTAAGTCTAACAAGACCATTAGTAATACAGAAAATTATAAGAAAACAATTTCTAGAGAGATATAACTAACTAATTTCATGCCAGCCTGGGAATCCTCAGATCTTACTTTAATAACAGTTTTTGTAGCATATTAAGGTTGCTGCCAAGAACAAGTGCACTGTGATTAATGAGGTACTTCAGGGATGAATTTACGTGGTAGACCAGTGTTTTACTGCCAAGAAACAAGAAAAGTGTGTTTAAAGTTTTGCTGTGG